TATATATATATATGATCAAGGTTAAAACAGTTGTGCTGCTTATTTTTTTGTAGAAACTGTGATACTTTTTTGGTCTTTTGTAACATTAGAAATGTCTTTAAAAAAAAAAAAATAAATGGCCAGTGTACTTTTGCTGCTATCAGAGCAGAAATGAAAGCTGCTGCTTTCTAGTTTTCGGTTTTCTCCTTTTGCGTTCATATGTAAATAGCACAAGCTTATTTCGCAATATTAGATATTAGATCTAAAGTCCATACATACACCCGCCCATAGACCCTCCTTTTAAAGAAATCAGGAAAGTGGTTGAAAATGGACAAAACAGACCACTTAAAACACCAGGTGCAAGCAGGAACGTTTCTCCCTTTTCTACTTGTGATTGACCAAAATGCATCTTAATACAGGGGCCTGAGAGATAGTGAGTTGTATGGCAATAGTATGTATTAGGGGTATAGCATTTCTGCTCTGGGCTACAGCGAACATCCGTAATGTTAAAATGATATTGACCTCTTCTCTTCCGCTTGTCTCAAAGTGACCAGAGCAGCTGGATCAAGTAACCCCTGATGGTCCAAGACCTGCGTGGCCCAATACTGCACCTCATCACCTCACACTTAAACTGATCGCAGACCTTCAGAGAGCAAGACAGGAAAAGCCTGCAGACAGATGGGCTTGACTGTGAGATGCCTGTCAGAGAGGGATGTTTACACAAACCCCACCATACAGGACGGGTGCGACACACACCTATTTAACTCATCTTTATGAAAAGTTCAACAGATACACTGGTTAATGTTCTGGCTAAAAGTTACGTCAGAACTTAAACTTAAATAACATTAACATTTAAACCAGCATATCTGTTCCAGAAATGAAGGGCAAACATCTTTGCAGTGATGTGTGGCATTCCTCATTTCTAATATCCAGTTTCACAACTCATAAAATAGAAGGAAAGGCACTATTTTACGGTACGTGTGACACTTGAAATGCGCTAATTTAGATTTATGAAAGCTATGGCATTGTGAACACAGTGGAAAGATCCAAAATCGGGAGACAGAGCCCACATTTTCCTTATGAAAGAAGAAAAAAGGTGCCTGTCATGTAAAAGCAGTATATGATCTCAGATTGGCTTGTATGAGAAATGCTCCAACATTCCTCAGATGAGGTCTTGCTCTCGCTCCTTGTGTCTGTAACCAAGCCCTAATGCTCTAAATGTGTGTATAATGTAATACGTCAGTGGCTTTATGGATTAAACATATACCACATATGTCTGCATTCCATCCCAAGCACATTCAGTATCCCTGACAAACGCATGTGCGCACACATAAAAAATACACACTCTCACTCAAGCATATGTGAGTATGTGTTTACAGAGATATGCATTTGTTGACTCTGGAGCTTGCAGAGTCCAGGCAGTGAATGCAGAAGGCTTGTATTACTCTGGGAATTTATTTTGGATGCAGAATACGGATTATAAAGAATCGGAATCAGACAACAGCTGCTCTTTAAGAGACTTCACAAACATTAATATGGTGGCTCGGTATTAAGTAGGAAAATGTATAGCTGTAACTGCCAAGCAACGGGGACTCCAACAAATACATATTCAGCGTCTCAGATTCAACAGTAGGGCAGACATTTCCATCTGTGCTATAAACTGATAAATAGATAAGTGAGAGATTTAAACTGCCTGACTCTATATGGAAAGCCTTAATATAGTGAGAGTGGAACTGATTTTTTTGACTGGGTTTGCCAAGGTCAAGTGAAATTATAAAATAATAACAACAACAACAACAACAATAACCAGCAAAAGCCTTTAACGTCATACCATACTGTTCTCAGGTAGCCCTTTTCCTGACGCTGATACGAAGCGGTTACTATATTACTTTCCCACAAACAAATAACCCACGTCATTCCAATATGCTGATTTGGTGCTCATGAAACATTTCCTATTATCATCAATGTTGAAAACAGCTACTATTTTTTATTTTTAAAGGGGTTATATGATGCGATTTCAATTTTTCCTTTCTCTTTGGAGTGTTCCAAGCTCTTGGAGCATAAAGAAGATCTGTAAAGTTGCAAAGACTAAAGTCTCAAATCCAAAGAGATATTCTTTATAAAAGTTAAGAGTCAGCCACGCCTACCTAAAACGGCTCGTTCTAACACGCCCCCACATACCTACGTCACTATCTGGGAAGATTTGCATAACGCCGCCCAAATGTTCACGCAAAGAAAGAAGGCGTAACTTTTATTCTCGCTGTAGTATTGTTGTTGCCGCCGCCATGTCGTGAAGGCACTGTGTGTTTGGGCACCATCACAATATGGTAGGGGCGTAACATTTCCGTCACACGCTTGAGGTATTCGGCCAATCATAACAGACTGGATAGCTGGCCAATCACAGCACACTTTGCTTTTCAGAAACCAAATACACCAAATAATGTTCTTTTTAGCAGCATCATATAACCCCTTTAAGAATTGTTTGATGAATAGAGAAAGCAAAAAGCATAGCATTTATTTGAAATATTTTGTAACATTATCATTTACATTTTTCACAAAAAAAAAAAATCCTTACTGATAAACTTTTGACATGATTTTTAATGTATTTAAACCATCACAATTAAGTGACTATGCAGTCACACACTGGCTTTCAACAGACTTTAATTTATAAATTTATGTTATACAGTCATTGTTCCTTTTTAGTTCATGACCATGATACTCAACAAAATCAGAAATTTGATCTGATCAAAGGTAATCTAACATTTCTTTAGATGGTGAGGACATTACCCTGCTCCCTGGCCACTGATATTACTGGATTCTGGATAAGGGGCCCATTTTTCAGGTCTGGAACTACATTTTCCATGGGGGAAATGAATGAAACAAGGCCAGATTGGGCACTTCATACATGCTGTGAATGGGAAAGCAGGAAAGAGTAATCATTTGTGCTCCATTATGCCTGCTTTAGTAAATAAGAGCAAATAAGGCTGTTAAAGTCCCACACACAGGTAATGCTACTGCAGGCCTAAACCTCAGACTCCTCTGAGGAGTTCACCTTTCCCCATTGCCCCACAGGTGTGTGATGTTCCCCCTTGAGGGCTGAATACAGGAGTCTGTGCTGAATCTGGTTTCCTCTTATGACAAATACAGAAATGTACAGAGGTGAAAACCACAGACATTAGCAGCTGATCTTACAGCTGGGATAAGTTTACGAGCTGAGGATTAGGTGTTGGTGGTGGGGGGAACCACCAAAAAATTGACAAAATCCATATGCGAAAAAAATGAATAAAATATCTGCATAAATATCAGTGTAAATGCTGCCTTACAAAAAATAATAATACAATAAAAAAATTAATCTGATCAAACTTTATAGTAAAGACAAAAAACTTCTTGGGAGAGAGCATTTTACTTCTCCCTAGAAAAATTTTGAAGGAAAATGCCTTTATCTTTCTCTCGTCTTATATATAGAGACACACACACACACACACACACACACACACACACACATTTCTCTCGCGTTATATATAGAGACACACACACACACACACACACACACACACACACACACACACACACACCTAACCTAGGTGGAAATTACAGGTTGTGTCAGATTTCCTGTAAGGCTCTTTGGAGTGGCACCTTGGCAGAGGAACAGAGTGCAGCTGGACATGTGTGAAACCCTGCTTTAATTGCATGGAGAGAAGAGTGCAGAGGTCTTTGGCTCAGACTGCGGTCTGTTGTCCTGCCTGTCAGACCTCCTCTGCCTCTGCGGGTATGGGTAGACGGTTATACAAAGCACTTCTGAAGCACAGGCCAGCTCAGTCCACAGCACTTAGAATCCAGTGTACAACGGAACATACAGTCAGTGAACTATGTATCACAAATGGGCCCAAGTACCATAGTATCAGTGACATCAGTGATTGACCATTAAAACACTGTGTGCGACATAAAAAGAATTAGGGGAAGAAAAATTAAATGAACCAAATCAAAGGGATTGAAATTAAAAGCAAGTGAAAGCTGATAAACACAGGCACAGCACAACCTGACTAAACTGATTTCCTAAAAGTGGCATGTGAAAACCTCTCAAAAAGACAAGCCAGATAATAAACTTAAAGGGGTCATATGATGCGATTTAAATTTTTCCTTTCTCTTTGGAGTGTTAAAAGCTCTTGGTGCATAAAGAAGATCTGTAAAGTTGCAAAGACTAAAGTCTCAAATCCAAAGAGATATTCTTTATAAAAGTTCAGAGTCAGCCACAC